GGGAGAACCCATATTGCTCTCTGCAGTGTAGAAGTGAAAAACGTGGATTATCCACAAGGGTAAAACTTTCCATGAGCAGTCTTGACTACTTGCTTCATGATGGCTTTTCCTGTAATCTCAGCATTTCTAGATAGCTCAATTCACTGACTACCTTAATTACTCTCTGAAGTGCCTTGCACTTCTCTTTGGTGACTCGTTTAGTAAACTATAATGGCAAGTATGGTACATTTTCCTGGCTTCAAAGATGGTAGTTATAGCCTCGGCCCAGAGATTAGCAGTTAACAATGGAAGCAGAATTCATACCATTGCTAGTGAGTTTTGGCTATGACCAACTCACAAACTATGTGAAAAAACAAACATCTTTCCATAACTGTCAGAGGGGAAGAGGGGGAAATATTTTATCATGTCTTTATTTTTGGAGACTCTAGCATGAGTGTATTATGTGGGGAAAAAAATGTCAAATTATTTTCTTTAAGCCTTTTTGATGTGTGGTTCTTTTCTCCACCCCTTACCCTCCATTTAGGGTTTGACATGTTTGGCTGGGTTCCAGGATGGGAAGAAAAGTATTTTGGTGAAAGAAAAAGATAAGATTGCTTTGAACTATTATCCTGTGACTATTCATTTACCCAGTGGTGGTACAGAGAAACTTCCTCCATAATTTTTGTATCCCGTTAACATTCTATCAGAATTCATTTTTAAGAGTCCACCCTGAGGCCCATAAAGAAATACTTCATTACTGTTCCGGACAATCATATTGAAAAAAATGTTCATGGAATGTGTTAAATGTGTTCACATATAAACGTTTATCTTTGTACATTTATGGTAATGTAAATATTTAAGTCTGAGAGCTTAAAAACTTTTATTTGCTTATTTGCATACATGTTTTTCAACATCTAGCAGTGCCAACCATATTTGCCAAATAAGCATCAGCCATAAATTCATGCTTTGGCACATTTCATACAATAACTCTTCTAAATTGCTCCGTGGTAAAGCATGAGATTAGCATTTGCTTCCATGAGAGAGATTTGTTGTTGTTTTTAACTGTAATGATGCTCTGTTTAAGAGGAACAGGTGCTGGGCTCTAGCTGCTTGTGTTGAAACCTGCCAAATCATACTCTTTTGTTGGATGGGTTATTTGAGTAATTTAGGAACCAAACTGTGGCCCCTGGCTTGCCAAGTTGAGTTCAAGGCTCCATATTACTGCTGTGAATCCCTATTTTCGCTGTAAGAGGTAATGGTGTGTGATGAACTTTATTTCTTATTGCTGTTCTCCTTGCTGTAATTTCTGCTCTCCACCACCACCCTGATCCTTTCATTACTGGAACTCTTGGGAAAGTCTCGGCTGCTTCATTGCTGGTTTGTTTTCCTTGGAGAAATTATAGTAACTTTCAGGCCAGGAATATATAGTTCCATTTGCTCATCAAATATTTTGAGTGCCTTTTAAGTGGTAGGCATGGTGGTAAACTGAGTATATGTGGAATGAGATGCCTTTTTGTAAGGAGTGTATAGTTCAGGAGGAGAAGATAGCTGATAACCAATAATTACAGTGTGAAGTGATACATGACAGGTATAAGGAAATTCCTATGGGTGGAAGCACAGAGGAGGAGGGGCAGTTGACAAAGACTTGGGGTATTGGGGAGGGAATGTCCTGAAATGCATCTTAGTGGTTATGTGAGCTAATCTTCAAAAATAGATAGGAGTTGACTAGGTTTAGAAAGAGGTAAAGGGCATTCTAGACCAGTGCTGCTCTATAAAAATAAAGTAATACGAATCACAAATATAAGTCACATGTGTCTTTTAAAATTTTCTATTAATCATGTTGAAAAGTAAAAGGTGAAATTAATTTTAGTGATGTATTTTATATAACCTGGTATATCTATGATATTATCATTTCAACATGTAATCAATATAAAAAAGTATTGAGATATTTGACATTCTCTTTTTGATACTAATTTTCAGAATCTGGTTTGTATTTTGCACATACACCACATCTCAGTTGGGACTAGCCATATTCAAGTACTCAATAGCCACAAGTAGACAGCCGAGTTTTAGAACAGGGGCCGGTGAAGTGGTAAGAAGCCGAATCATTGAATTCCTTATGAACTAAGCTAAGGAGCTTTAACTTTACCCTGAAGATTTAGTGGAGGTGGGGGTGGAATTAAACTGTGACAGAGTCATATTTGTATTTTAGGCAGTGAGGTGAATGCTGAATTAGAGAAGGGCATAACTGAGAGCAAGACCAGTTAGGAAGCCATTCCTGGTGAAAAATGATGAGGCTGTAGAAGAAGGGGTAGACGTATGAGAGATTTAGGAAGTAGCACCAAGGGGGCAGGGTTCATAATCAGATTATAGAGCTGAGAAAGATTGAAGGTTTAGGATGATTCCCACATTTTTTTTGTGAGCTACTGAAGGGGGTAAGCAACTAAGGGAAACCAACCATCTTTGCCAGACAGACCAAAGGTGAAAAAGACAACTATGAGAGATTTGTCACAGAAGCTGAGGGAGAAGAATATTTCAAGGACTAGGAGTGAACAATACTGTATCCTGCCATGAAAAGGTCAAGTAAAATAAGGACTGGAAAAAGTCCACGAGACTTGGTGATGAAGTCATCTGTAACTTCAACTAGAGCTGGTAGCTACATTGTAATGCATTCCCTCAATGGGGGTAAGAGTCAGTGACAGAAGTGTCGCTAATTGAGAGGAATACAGTGTTTTCAACAAAGGACTGAACGAAATAGTACAGGTGGAGGGAGATGCGGGGGATTTAGAGAAGTTTGCTCCTCCCCCTTTTTTAAATTATGAGGGTCTTGGGCATATTTATGTGGGATTGGAAAGAACCAGTGGAGGGGAGAAATTGAAGCAGAGAGAGAGGGAGAGGGAGAAGGGGAACAGAGGTGACTGATGGAGCCAAGGATTTGGAGACAGTAGGAGGGATGGGATCTGAGGCATAGGTAGACAAAGTGGCCTTGGGTAGGAAATGTTTTTCCTTTTCTAGTGAGCAGAAAGGAAGGAGATAGAGTTGGAGGCAGTGTAAATAACTTTGTAACTGATAGGGGAAGGAAGAAGAATGAATTGATGTATGTGTGTTCTGTTGTTTTTGAATACCTGCTTAGCATAATGGGGAACATGGTGGAATAGGGGTTCTTAAGAGCGTTTGAGTTTATAACAGCTTCTAAGGGATTGTAGGGTGGGAGAAGAGACAGACAGACACATGACTAGGAAAATGAATAAGGGATGGTTAGGCAGCATTGAAGACACATTTGGATTTGTAGGGGTACCGATTGCATGGTTTGATTTTTTTTTTTCCCCAGCAGTGATCATTCTGGATATAGCTGAAGAAACCATTTAATACTCAGAAGAACTAATAAGGTAGCATTTTCCTTGACTGTAAGATGAACAGCTAGGGTTCAAACCCTGGTGGTTCAATTCCAGAATCCAGGCTTTGCAGATGCCTGCTTGGTGGAGATGCCCAAAGGACAATTGTCTAAGGGAATTAGTGATGTCAAGGACTGTGACTGAAACAAACTGTGGAGTCTAGCCTGGATCTTGTGCAGGAATCCTAGGTGGGCTGATTCAATCGGGAGGAAATGAAGGGCGTGAAAGCTAGGGGTCAGTGTGAAGCTAAAGAGCGAGTGAGGAGGGAGCAGTAACATTAGCTTTTATTTATGTGCTGGACACTCTAATACCTTATTTCTAATCCTAGCATGAATATTATTAACCTTATATTCATCCCTTTCTCATCTTCCTTCAGATGAAGAAACAGGATTAGAAAGGTTAAATTACATGTCCAGAGATACACACTCTCAAGGATAGAACCAAGATCGAAAGCCCATTCTTTCTTCTCCAGATGGTAGTCTTCTCAAGTAAGGAGATAAGAGAGAAAACACAGTAATGATAAAAGTGGTAGAACAACACTGGGACGTTACGTTTAGAACTTCAGAGGTGTATCATTCATTTAGT